GATGACTGTTGAAACAATTAACTCCTAGTCCAATTGTCCATTAAATCATCTGAGAAAATCGCAACTGTAGTGATTCTTCTGATCTTCTCCGAGGGCTAAATCTGATTCTATCTTCCTCCTCCAGCCGGCAGCAAGATTTACAAAAATAAGTGCACCATTCTTCTGACTACAAATATTTTAATGATATTCATCTAAATTCTTTATTTTTTTTTTCAGTAGAAGCAATCTTCCCTATACCCATAAACAGTTTCAGTAAATTTGCTTGATATGGATGCTTCTCGTCCCTGCAAGAGTTGCAGACAGAGAACTCTCGTCCCGGACGATGTAACAGGCAATATGGTCTGCACATCATGTGGCGTAGTTCAAGATTTTGACAATTTTCAAGCTCATATTGGTGGCATTACCGGCCCTGCTGGCACCTATGTTCGTGTGGGAACTGCTGGCACTGGCAGTACTTACAATTATAAAGAAAATAAAATTTACGAGGCCCAAAAATTGATTGGGGATTTTATGTTTAAATTAGGACTTTCGCGTTCAAAATCCGATGAGGTTAAGGTTATGGTTGAGACGGTTACGGAAGGGGAATATGGTCAAGGGAATTGGTTCCCGGTTCTTATAGGTGCGTGTGCCTATGTTGTGATGAGGAAGGATAAGAAGATCTTGCCAATTGAAGAAGTGGTAGATTTGGTGGGGTGTGATGTTTATGAATTGGGTCGGATGATTAATCGAGTTCTGGATTTTCTTGACTTGAAGTTGCCAGAGTTTGATATTGTGAATTCTCTGGAACATGTTATTAGGAAATATCCGATGTTTAATAGGATTTCGGAGGATGTGGTTCAGAGGATGTTGAAGCAAGGGATGTTTTTAATGCAATGTTTGATCAAGTGGTTCTTGACCACAGGAAGGAGGCCGATGGCGGTTGTGGCGGCAGTCTTGGTTTTTGTTGGGGAATTGAATCAATTAGATGTAAAGATTGAAGTTGTCGCAAAGGAGTTGCATGTATCAGTTGTTACGTGTAGGCGTAGGTACAAGGAACTTCTGGAGAGGCTTGTTAAAGTTGCGCAAGCTTTGCCATGGGGTGAAGATGTCACAGTGAAGAATATTCTGAAGAATGCTCCAAATGTGATTCAGTACATGGAAATGAAGTCAATGAGCCAATTCGGTCAGAAGGGGAAGAGCTTTGAGCATGTTGGATTTGATCTGACGGAGGTGGTTGGTGGATGTGTGAGCAAAGAAACCGAATATGGAGTTGATAGTCATACCACAGAAAATTGCACTGTGCTGTATTTTGAGGCAAATCTTCAGTCACCTATGAGAATTAAATATCCAGATAAATTTCAGATTTCCACAGAATGTTTGGCCATGATTTATTCCAAGTTCTTGGACGAGGTTCCTTTACTCAAGGCCACATCAGAAAGGTCCAAGGATAACAAAAGGAAGAGAGCGGGAAGTTTTGACCTTCATGCATGTACAGACTGGTGGAAGGGCAAATCAGATTTGAGTAAAAAGCTTTTGTTGAAACAAGTATTTGAGAAAGATGTAGGATTGGATGCTTCACCACCATCTTTTGATAGGGGATGCTTAGCTTCTGCAAGGAGACGAGAAAAGATAAAAGCTTCCAAGCTGCGAATTCAGAAGATTATGCATCCTCTTGTAGCTGATGCTGGTGATGGGAGTGATATTTGTGTCTCGAAATGTATAAAATCTGGGAAGAAGCAAAGGAAAATGCAAGTGGATATTGACTGGGAAGATCTCATCATTGAAACTCTTCTCCTTCATAATGTAAAGGAAGACGAGATAGAAAAGGGACATTATAATGTATTGATGGATTTGCATGTTTTTGACTATGGCAATGTGTAGGCTTCAACAAGCAGCGGTGTAATTAAAGCTCTAAAACTGCATTTTGGCATCAAAGTACGTTGACATGTCTCTTGCTGAAACAGACTGTCTTCATGTAGAACTTCTACAAGCAGAAAGATATTCTATATTCTAAATCGAGCAGTTTTGTTAAAGCTCAAAAAATACTTTTTTGTGATGTCAAAATATGCTGACATGTTTCTCGCCGAGGCAGACTGTCTTCGAGTACGGTAGAGAGAGATTCTATATTCTAGATCATCCTTGTAAATTCATATAACATGGATTATTTTTCAATAAATGTGGGTATACACATTAACCTATTACATGCAATCTTTTTCCTGGTAAATTGTCTCGTTGTGACTTCAAGGGCTCTCTCAGTATCATTGATCATCTATTACTTGTTGCCTGCTGGAGTTGCTGTATGTTTAACCTTAATTCAAATGTTAGCCTATTCATCTCTCAGAACTGTCAATAATTGCATGCTACTTGCTTTCAGTGATGAGAGTTGCATAATATTACATTTTACAGACAGATAGAATCATTGGTTACACTAGCTAGATCAATCTATGTTTATTACTTCATTTTTTTAAAATAGGTCTGTACACATCTTTTACTTAAATGGGTGTGGTGATTGCCTTATTGCTGACTGATATGTTTTGTTGATAAATGTACTGCTATAGCTCTGTGACGACTCCACTCTACTAATACGTGCTCCTATAATGTAAGTGAACTTGGCTAACTTTTATCACTTTTTATGCTGAATGATGGACCGACTTATAAACGGGTGTCTGTTCAGGTAATATGACAGCTTCATGGGTGCGAATGCTTTAAATAGTTGTGTTGATTACATGATTACAGTCTGCAATATCTTTGGTTGAGAAATGGACTGCAATAGATCTGTTGCTTCTTCAGTCGACTCTAGTTTCTCGTACGCGTTGCTTAGACCTGATTTGCAACTTTGCTGTTTTCATTGGCAGCAATAGTTTTTCCCGCTTGTAGTCTACATGTTTCCTCTTTTTAAATTTGGGTTCTGAAGTCTTTCTATATCTGCGTTTTCTAGCATGAAAAAGGCTTAATGGCATTGGTTTTCATAATTTTCTGTCAATCTACAATATTTATGTATACTGATGAAGTTATGTTAATGACGGAGGGCTATTAGAAGGTGCTTAATTATTGTGTGTTTCTTTTATTTTGAATATATACGGAGCATATACGTTTGCTATTCTTCAAGCCGCATTCTTGACTTTTAGCCATAGTTTGAAGGCAAGACCAGTCTTTGGGTTATTAGGTACTTGTGATCTCTTGTTGTCACAAAGACTCCTTTTAAAGCGTGTTTGATAAGGTGCTTGGACTACCCTGTACGGTGTACATAAAAGAGAAGTTAAAATGTCTATTATTTAAGTGGCTGTAAAGCGAAGTCATTCATTTAGGGCTGCTTTAAACATTGCACTGTTGTGATTATCTGGGAAGACATTTATGTTCTTAAAAGTACAATCGCAAAACTATATTCTCTCTTGACTTGAGAAGTAAATTAGGAGTGCCAATGTTACCTTATGCCTTTAGAAGTGCAATCATTTGGTCTTTGTAATGCTCAAAAGCTTTCTTGACAAGGATACACGAAGAGTACTTATTGTGTTTTGAACTGAAGTTATAGGGCAAGAAAGTCGAAATTTTATAGTTATTTATTTGTTGTTTCGAGCGAAGTATGTAGTAGGGTGAGTGAAATGGGAACAACCCACATGGCAGTCATTTTCAAGAATACGTACCATTTTTCTTAAAAGGGAAACCTGCACATATTGATTCGGGCCAATGTAATGCCAATGTTTTTTTAAATAAAACAAGAAAAGGTAATTTAGTATTCTCATAGCATTATTTTGATTGAATAGACTAGTTTCTGCAATAGAATTAACGTAACAAAATCTCATTGAAAGCTTTTGTATTTGAATTTGCTGCTGTTCATAACATGACCGCGTTACGGAATGTTTTTGGATTTGAATTTGCTGTAAACGTGGACTAGTTTACTCAAAAGACAAGGCTCATTTAGTTTTTGAATATTTATTCGAATATTTTCTTAGTTAAGTTATGCTGCATATGGACCAGATTCCTGGCTCCAGCCTACTCAAAACAGTGCACGCATTTTGATTCATCCTAAATCTGTCTGTTTTGCCGATGACCTTCCAATTCTTGCCGATGACCTCGATTTGCTTAAGGATGTCCTTAATGATCATCCCCTGAGCTTAAACATGTTGATTTCACTGATATGTGAATATTTGACTTCTTCCAAAACTGTCAAGTGGATTGCTTATAAAACGTATTTATAGTTTGTGTAAAGCTGAGTTCTAGAAATTTGATTCCATTTTCTAGGGATAATCCATCTGCTAATTTTGAACGGCTAATATTCTAAATGTTTCATCTTGAATAGTATGTTGAGATTTTTCGATGGATTTGGCATGCATTTAAGACTGTCACTTTGGTCTTGTCAGTTTTATACTTGTCCAAGTGACCAACTGGATCACTATCACCTTCGTATCCTATTAGCTGGGGCATTTTGAGTTTCTTTGGCAGTGGTTCGGACCAGATGTCCTCTGAAAAGGGGAAGTGCCTATTTGTGATATTCCTACTTCACCCTCTTTTTGCTTAGAGCCTGTTTGGTAGAGATTT